GCCTGCCTCTGCACGCACGGCGGCGACGCGGCCCCGCCCCCTGCGAGCGGGCCCACAAACTGCCCAGACTCGCCCTGCTTCACCACCAACGTGCTCTGCAGCGATCTGGCTGGTGTACCGGTTTGAGGGCCTCAAGCCCCTGAGTCTCATCCTCCCGCGCTTGGAGCCGCCGCAGCCGCCCCCCGGCCTGCGAGCCCTGTTCTTCGGCGGCCGCGAGGCCGCCGCCGCGGCCGCCGTCTCCGCGCGCCGCGCGCTGCTGCGCGCCTTCTCCCGGCGCCTGCTCGGCGCGCTGTCCTACTCGCACGCGCGCGGCTTCGCGCACTGCTGCCTGGGCAGCGGCAGCGTGCAGTGCAGCGGCTTTGACGAGCGGGCGCCGGACAAAGTGATTGTGAAGCTCGACAACTGGGGCCTGGCGCGGCTGTACCCAGGGCCACTGCAGGAGCAGGCAGACGACGCGGGCGCGTCGGCGGCGGGCGCGGGTGCGGCGGGCGCGGCCGGTGCGCAGCGTCAAGGCAGGGCGGGCCCCGTGCCTCGTTGCTGCTTTGTGGGCCGCCGGCATGCACGCCCGCAGGGCAGGTGCTATTATAGCAATGTCTCCTGTATATTGTAGTCAAGGAGGCCGCAGTCTGTAGACGCCACACCTCATCATCAGCAGGCACTCCCAGCGCTCGTCCCTGTCCCTCACCCCCATGAACCGCCCGCGCCGCCCGCTCCGCCCCGGCAGGCGCCGCGCCGGCCCCCAGCCCCCTGACGGACGGCGACGGCGACGCGCTGCAGCAGCGCCGCGCAGACCTGCAGTCGGCCGGCCTGCTGCTGGTCGAGGCGTTCGTGGCCGGCACCGCCGGCGGCGCGGCAGCGGCCGCGCTTGGCGGCGGGGAGGCGCTGCGGCGGCTGTTGTTCGAGGTGTTTCACGATGACATCAGCGAGTTCAGGGCGTACTGCGAGGCCGACGTGAGCGGTGGCACATGCACTTGCAGGGAAAGGGGCCCGATGGTTGCGTACGCTGTTTTGGGGTGGGGCTATGGTGGGAGGGGCCGCGACATTGACCCAGCGTATGGTTGCTCAGGGCGCAACAATGCCGCGTGCCGATGCGCCGACGCTGGCTTTGGGGGACTGGTTGCATTAAGAACGATCAATCCCTCCTCCTCTTTGCAATCGCGCCGCCGCCAGGAGGACCTGCAGCGGTTTGTCGAATTTGCTGACGACACGGGCGCCTGGGGGCTGCTGGGGGACCTCCTGCGCGGCGAGGCGTCCGCCGGCGAGCTGCTGCGGACGAGCCCCTTCTTTGCACAGGTCGAGGCGCAGGCTTGAGCCGGCGGGCGGCACGCTCCACAGCTTCCGGCCGGCTCACAGGTCGTGCTCCGTCATGCTTTCGCGCCGCCTGGCGTCCGTCACCCGTCTGCCCATGCCGCTTGATGGGCGCCTTCACCAAGCTGGAAAAAGCCCTGAGGCACGTCAATGGACGGCTGTGAGCGTGGATATCCGTGTAACCCGCGGCTTGGAGGGTGTCGTTTCGAGGACCGCGGCTTGCGACAGACACTTCCGAGGCAGTGATTTGGGTTCACCGTGCCCCTGGCGTTCACAGCACCGTTTCGATACACGGTATGAACACGGACTCACCTGCACACCTGCTGCAATGAGTCCCCTGGTCTCTGTGTTTGCCTCGGCAGCGGCCCCGAGTTCTGGGCTCTTGCAACGCCAGCCCAGCGGGGCTCTCCTGCGCAGTCAGGGCTCCGGCCAGCTGCAAAGGCAGGCCAGTGGGGGCCTGCGAACTCAGGGCTCTGGCCAGCATGGCACTCTGCGCTCACAGGGGTCCGGCGCTGTTGCGCAGTCGGCACCCCGCCGCAGCACGCGCGGCTCGATCGCCTGCGCCGCCGCCGGCGACGGCCTGAGCGGCGGCGACGTCGCCGGCGCGGAGCAGCTGCGGCCGCAGGGGTCGCTGCCGTCGCAGCAGCCCGCGCACGCCGGCACGCATCAGCAGGTGCACCAGCACCAGCTGCACGAGCAGCAGCCAGAGGTCGCTGATCTGGACGCCCTCATGGCCTCCTCGGTCGAAGGAATTAGGTGAGGCACAATCTGGGGGGCCGCGGCGAGTGCCTGGTCACCCGGGTTCGAACAGTTCATCCTCACCTGGGTGGTACCATGCAGCTTGCGGCCACGCGGCTCAATGCATCGGCGGCCCGCCCAAAACATGAAGCGCCTCCTCCGCCCCGACAGTTTGCATGCACATGCCTCTGCGCGCACGCCGCTGCTGCTGGCCGCCCACCCTCCGTCCCTCGCCACCACTCTCCGTCCTGCGCAACCGACCCCCGCCCCTCGCAGCACCGCCCAGTTCGACAGCTATGCGCTGCGCCACCTGGTGCAGTCCCCGCCCGCCGCCACGTCCCACCTGTCCAGCCTCGCCATCACGCCGCGCCGCGTGCTGCGGCGCTACGCTGTCACCTCGCTGTCGGGCGAGCGCTGCGTCATGACCCTCACCTTTGAGCACAATGCCCCGCAGCAGCAGCAGCAGCAGCAGCAGCAGCAGCAGCAGCAGCAGCAGCAGCAGCAGCCGTTTGGCCAGCCCAACCCGCAGCAGCCGGCGGCCCCGGCCGGCGGGTGGCTCCTGGCCGGCGCGACCGGCGAGCCTTTGCAGCAGGAGCACCCGGCCGGCCCCGCCCCCGACCACCCCCCAGAGGCGATCGTGCAATCGGTGCTCGCCTCGCTCGGCGCGTTCGACACCGCCGCCGCGTGGCGCTTCGCGTCCATCCCCGCGCGCGCCGCGCTCGGCGGCAGCGCGGAGCGGTTTGGGGACGCGCTTGCGGGGGTGGAGATGCAGCCGCTGCTGCTGCACGTCGGGGCGAGCACCGTGATGCGGCGGCAGCGCTGCGCCGACCGCTACTCCGAGGTTGTTCGTCTGGACACCGCGTCGGGAGGTGAGGGGCCGCGTTGTTGGGATGCCTGGCGTTTTGGAAGTGTGAGCGGGGTCTGTCAAGCAGTGGGATGGGGCGGGGTTTGGGGCGCATCACGCAACGCGGCTCTCGGGCCACGTTTCTGAAGCTCCTGCTGCCGCCGCCGTCGCTGCTGCTGCAGCTGCTGCCGCCGCCCCCGCAGCTGCTGCTGCCGCTGCCGCCGGCGCCGCCGGCAGCCACAAGGGTTGCGTCGCCGTACCCAGCCGTATATCTCCTGCCATGAAGCGCGGCGTCCAGGCGCCGCCGACCCTTGCGCCACCCTCTGCTTCCTGTGTGCGCACACACACACACACACAACAGCATTGTCATCGTTTTGATTATCTTACGCGCACACACACGTACACACACACACACACAAACGCACGCACACACACGCACACACACACACGCAACAGAGAGCGTCGAGTTCTGCTTCAGCCTGGCGCTGCAGGTCGACGGGCCCTTTGAGGACTGCTGGATGCTCGAGAGCGTGCGCCCGCTCGGCGGCGCCGGCTGCGCACGCACAGGCGACAGCGGCGACGCGGACAACTGCGGCTTTCCCGAGGCCTGGCCCGAGTTTTGAGATGCAGCCGCGGCTTTGGCGCCGCGCCGCGCAGTCATAGCTTAAAACGAGCGCGGCGCAGGGGCCCTGACCATGCGCACAGCAAGCCCATCCAACACGCCGCTTGAACGCAGAGCTCGCAATCAGGTTTCTGAGGGCACGAAACTCCCGACAGCGGCTGCTTTGCCTGTGCGGCAGCCGCACATTGGCCCTGCGCCGCCGCCGTGGCTGCAAGGGCGCCTGCGGTCTCGCGACAGCTGCCGGCCCCCTGGGGCATGCAAGCCCCAGGGTCTGTGAGACAAGGGCGCTGCCTTCTCCGTGCGCGCCCCCTGGGAGCACCAGGGACCGATGGTTGGTGCCTGACGCGTTTTCAAACAACCTGAATCTACAGGACGCTCCCTTTTGAGATGATGCCTTCCAGAGATGTTGCCGCGGCCGGGCCTGGGCTTGGTGACACGACACTGTTTGCCCTCGGCCTCCTGGCTCAACGTATGGACACTGGGAAAGTGTTTTTGTAGCAGCACGCTCGCCGCACCGGCTTGATTTAGGGCACCCTCCACCCTCCGGGCACCCTCCACCCCACGCTGCGAAATGACGACGACAGCGCCGCAACGCGCACGTCCAAAACTCATCACCCGGCCCTTCCCGGCCACTGGCCCGTCCCGTTCGCGCCCGCGGCCAGCCGCGCGGGCGCCCGCGCGCCCCCTTTATCCTTCGCGTCTTTATCACCCGGGCAGCAGCGGCACGACGAGGCCGCCCTGAATAGGCGCTGTAAGTAGTCCGTTGACGGCGCGCTCGGCGTGTTTTGGCCCCGGCCTTGATGGCCCATAGCGCGGCCCCCTGCACCCCTTTTGTGTATCGAAATCGCAGTGCCGGTGCCATGCCTTGCCCTGCTGTATTACTGCGTAACCTGCTGCACACAGTTGTCAATGCATCGCTTGACATCCCAGGGGCCCCAGCAATGACAGTTTGATGAGATGAGTAGTGATTACTCTGCATGTCATCAAAGCATTAGGGCCCGCGCAAAGCAGTTGGGCCCTCGCAGGGAGAACACCTGTTGCAGCAGACGCATTCAGGGCAGGAGGGAGTATGATGTCGACAACTTTTGCCTGCTTGACGACGAAAGTGCGCGGCAATGGCGCGTGCAAGTTTTTTGTCTGCTCAAGCTGGGGCAAAGATGGGGTGCAGCAATGGGACACGTCGCTTGCGGGCGACCGCAACAAGCTGGAGCTGGGCGAGAAGAGGCCAGAAGGGCGGCCGAAGCAGAATCAAGCCGCGACCAGGGACGCCATGGCGCAGAAGGCATGCGGGTAGGGGCCGAGGAATCCCTGGGGTTCTGTCTTGCTGTGTGTGGGGGAAAACAACGGGCACCGCCGCTGGCCTCGCTTGATGGACCAAAGGCAGTGCGCTTCAGGCACCGCCCGGCAGCAAAGAAAACGGCTGGGCTGATGGCGCGACAATTGATTCTGTAGGTGGGAAATTCGCAGCAGGGGTAGGATCAGGGTAGATGACACCTGTGTCGCCCGTCTTTGGTGGAGGGGTCTGGCGCTGGCCGACGTCCCGCGTTTCAGTCGAACCTCATGTGTGCCTGGGGCAGGGGCGCGGGGAGTGAAAGGGGGATGGAGACATTAGTGTTCCGCCTTCGTGTTGCAAAGTCAACAGGTGAAAGCATGGGCAAGACTAGCATCACCGTTTGGTACTGCAGTCGAGCACCAACAGCCTCACTTGCGAGGACCAAAGTGCGAGAGCGCGCGCCACACAGTCTGTTGGGGCGCCCCCAGACCGGAGCGCGAGTTCCCACACGCCGAGGCGCAAGCAAGCCGAGCGAGGCGGGCATCCAGTCAGGCGCGCGCCTGCCTTCTCAGCAGGATATGTCGAAGTTGTAAGAGTCGGATCCCCTTGCCTCGAGGGAGCGCGCAAAGGTGGCCGCGAAGCCGCGCTCGCCGGCCGGGGTGCGCGGCGTGGAGGCGGTGGAGGAGGAGCTGCCCTGGCTGGTCAGGGACAGCAGGGTCTCGGCGTCGTCCATGGTGGTCGCGCAGAAGTCGTTGAAGGACGGGATGCGCCTGCCCCTGGGGCACGCGCGGGGGTGGGGCGGCGTCATGTAAGGGTTGGGAGTGGCCGCGCGCCCGCGGGGCGAGGTGTGTACAAGGGCGCTGCGCCGAGTGGGGGCGATCGATGAGGGATGCCCTCGCATGGAACCTGCACACTGTGCATACATGTACGTCAAACCAGTCTACTTGGCCCAGGCGGAGGGCGTGCCCGGTCCTAGGATGGCTGCTGGCGCTGAGCGGGACAAGACGCCCGATCAGCGGGCTGGCATGCGGCACAGCTCAGGCACCTGCTGCTCTGGGGCTTGAGCTTCTGGGGGGTCTCGTCCTCCACTGAGCTCATCGTGGTCGCCTCTTGAGGGTTGCGGAGGGTTGCGGAGGGATTTCCGGTGCGGGACTGCATCGAAAGCGGTGAGGATGGCTCTCTATTGTGCCTTTAAAAGGTTGCTTGTTATGTCGCTGCGGTGTTGAGGGGCCCTCAGGCGTGCAATTCTGCACCGGCACGGTACCGATCTTCAGTAGGTGTCGCGGAAGTCTGGGCTGTGAGCAGGATCATTGAAATTTCACCGTGGGAGCAATTTGAACGTTATGTAAACGTAAAGTGCTGGCCGCCCGCCCCCTCCCTTGCCCCCTCTGAAGAACCCATCTGTTCTTCGCCGGCCTGCTCGCCTGCCTGCATGTGCATCGTGTATCATAAGCTGGCCACAGTGCTCTTCAATGGGGTTGCCTATCGCAAGCGGTGCCCTGAGCGGCGGACCATCCAAACTTTTTGATGAACTTCGTTGGCCGCTGGCAGTCCGTTTGTCCCGTGCCGCACTTTTAGGCTTTGTTAGGCCAGGCAGTGGAAAACTCAGCACCATGACACCTCTGCATTGTGTTGGCAGCAATTCACCTCCCCACCCTCTGCACCCGTTGGCCCTGATGCATGCAGCTACGCTCAGGGCTGTAGGCGGCACTACGCATGTGCGACTTTTGGACTTGGGTTGAGGCAATTGGAATCTGCATGCACCTGATTCTCTCACAGTACCGGTAGTTTCACCACCAGCTTTGGTCTGTTGTGTTGCGTCTTGTGTACGTTAGCTCATCAATAGATTGCTACTGAGCAGGCAGATCACGCATCATTGACCAGTTTGAATCAAGCAAGACGCTTTATCATGATAATCACGTAGCAATTCAAGCAATTTATACCATCAAGATCAACGTGTGCTGCTGGCGTGTTAGGGATGGCGGGCTTCCGGTCGCAGCTTAGGTGTGTGTGCACGCGACCAGCGACCGTTGCGTAGGCTGTATGTGCAAGATGATGGTAGTTTTGTTTCTCTCGTGCTGGATCCCAAACCCACATGCGGGCCGTGAGCGCGGTTCTGTCCAACCACGGCACCACAGGCCGCGCTCTGCTGGGGCCATACGGCGAGCTGGGTTCCCGCTGAGCGTGGCGGTGCTGGCGCTCTTCCTTGTCGCAGCAGCTGCGCAAGAAAAACTCGTTGGTGAGTGGCACAGCCACCCCTCACAGACCCGTCACACTGGCTGGGCAGCTGCCTCGTGCCCAAAATGCGCAGCTGCCTGGTACACCTGGATGAAACGGCCGACAGCCCCCGCCGCACGCCTCCCGCGCCTGCGACACAGGCAAGGTGCAGGTGGTGGCGGTGCACGGCCTGGATAGGGATGAGCTCACCGGCAACATCACAGCCGTGCGCCACGAGCACCAAATCCACCTGCAGCTCAAGGGCGGCGAGCTGCGGCGGCTCGTCTTCCCCAACAGCGTGGATGAGGTGGGATTCGCAGCATGACGAGTTGCCGCCTGCGGCGGGGCAGCTGCAGGCGCTGTGCTATGCGCAACATCTCGCTGCAAGGATACATGCCAGCGCATTGTGAGCTAGCGCACGTGTGAAACACCGCCATGCGCCCATGCACGCCCACGTGCGCCCGCGCGCACACGCGCGCACACGCGCGCACACGCACACGTACACGCACACACGCGCACGCACACATCTATGCACGTTGGCCACAGGATTCAATGCCGCGTTCTGGCTCGTACGTGTACGTGGCATCACGGTCGATGGCCGACTGCACTCCGGATATGGCTCAGCAGCAGTCTGGCGCGATATGCGTCCAGTCAATGATGACCCACGAGGGTGCGGCCAAGTATTGTGGCTGGGAAACCCTGATACATGACTTGCCATTACATTTGTGTGATGAGCCAAAACTGCTGTGGCTCGTGCTCGCATCAACTGCTGCCGCTTGCAGCCACGCACAGGGCCTCAAACCCACCAGCCGGTCAACCAAGCGGCTGAATGTACGCGCTGCCACCTCCTGCGCATGATTTGGCTGCAGCCGCACCTCAGGATGTTTATGCCAAGGGACAGCCGCGCGGCAACATGTTTGTCAAGGCGCTTCTGGTGCAGCTGGACATCTGCAACAACGGCATAGCCTCACCAGACTGGGATGTGAGCGCACGGCAAGATAGCTGACAGTGCACGCATGAAGTTTGTTTTGCGCATGTTGCAATGTTCTCCGAACAAACTGTCAGGAGCACAGCACTCGCAGTGCAGTCAGGTGCCACATATGACTACCGTGGCGGCAGTCACATCGCTCGCTGCGCCGCTGCCCGCCACAGGCAATGGAGGGTGCCATGTGGGACGGCCTGCCCAAGAGCCAAGAGCGCACGGTTGAGGGCATGTTCAAGGGCTGCTCCTTTGACATGGCGCAGGTCAGAGCCTGGCGCATGCCAGAGCAGTGCAGGGGGCGGGGGAAAGCTGGTGCACCAGGCAGGCACGTCAATTTCTGTCGCCATGGAATGCTCCCAGCTATGCAGCAGGATTTCAGGGCAGTATTGGCCAGTTACAGGAAACCTCAAGAAACCTTGCAGCCCTCCTTTGTAGGCCCTCATTATGCACCCACCCTGCGCAAGAACCCCGTTTCGCTCAACCCCCCCTCTGCAAACACGCGCGTGTACGGACGCACGCACGCACGCACGCGCGCGCGCGCGCACACACACACACACACACACACACACACACACACACTCTCTCTCTCTCTCTCTCTCTCTCTCTCTGTGTTGCATGCATCCATGCACACACTCATGCACACTCCCTGCAGGTCAGCAAGTCCGTCGGCGGCCACATGCTGCGCGTGCCAGTCCCCGTTCCCTGCAGCGGCACTACACCACAGGGAGCAAGCTACGACTCCAGCCAGTGCCCCTTCAACGGTTAGTGATGCTGCGACATTATGGAAGGCACAAGAGGACAGGGTGACTGAGCACCTCCCAGCTAGATGCTGTGGTCGTGCAAGCTGCCCTGCCCTGTCCTGGCCGCACCCCTCCCCCTTGGCCCGCGGCTATCCGCTCTAACACTTCCCGGTATGTATTGTGCCCCCTGCTGCCCATGCTGCCACCATCAACCCGGCCCCGATTTCCTGTCACAGAGTGGTCTGACGTGGCGATCGACTGGATCCGCAGCAACGTGCCCGACCTCAACCTAGATGACTACCCCCACAAGATCTTCATCGTCATGAAAGGCCAGACGTGCGCGTGGGGGGGCATGGGCTACGTCGGCTGCCACGACGACTGCCGCGTGTGGATCAACGGGGACCTCTGGGATGTGAGTGGGGGGTGCGCGGCAGCGAGGTGCATGCGCCAGCGGCAGGGCTGCTGACCCCGCAGTTGCATGCGGGCCAGCAGGGCTCTGGAAGTTTGTGTTGTGTCCATGACCGAAAAAGAGGGCTCGCTGGCCGAGTGTGAGGCTGGCAAAGTGGTGGAGAGCAGCATCGCCAGGGCGATGCCTCCAACGGCGATGTCAAACAACGCTTTGGCCTGTTCACGAGCACACAACTGCCGGCCTGTCACACTGGACCCCTGCCCTACAACAACCCTGTCGCGCCATGCACCAGCCAACGAACACTGTTTCACCCTGGGCACTTGCTTGGCACTTGCACTAGTCTGGGAATGCTTTGCTAGTTCATCCCGCCATGCTGCCTCCCTCACGATTGACGATTCACCTGCACAACCCCTCCGGCCAAGCGCAGAAGCCTGACACCTACTTCCACGAGATTAGTCACAACCTGTACTGCAACCACGCTGGCAAGTGGGGCAACAAGGGCTACGAGGACATGAGCGGCGCGATGGGCTACTGCTGCGACATCCGCTGCCACAACGCACCGCACAGCTTCCAGGTGAGCAGCCTGATGAGGGCCGTGGCACCTGGCTTACAAAAAGTGTAGCCTGGAATCAACATTGCACTTGCAGGCTGGGCATTTGCAGCACACAGCCGGCCGGGAGGTCGCCCCATGCATTGCAGCCGGGGCGAGAGCGGGGCCGCTGGGCGGCCACGGAGGGCGGCAGAGGCACTGTGCCTTTGTCAATCGAGAGCAGTACGGCAGTACCAAGCTGATGACGGCTATGCATCCATCCTGCTGTGGCCCCTTCCCCAGCTGGGCTGGGCGGGCCCCGTCAAGAGCCTGCACTCTGACAACTGGCCGGCGGGGACGTGGGAGACCCACATGCTGCCGGCCGCCGCGGTGCAGCCGCGCAACTTCATCCGCATCTGGCCGGACTGGAGCACCCAGGGGGCAAAGAGCAAGATCTTCCTGCAGTACAGGCGAGGCGTGGCTAGCTGTGAGGCGGGGGCCCGGCCAGGCACGGCCGGCTAGCTGTGACAGTGGGGTGCCCTGAGGAGTAGCGGCGGGGCTGCTGACAATGTAGAGGGCCGGCCGGGTGCCAGCTGGAAGTGTCTGTACACGGCGTCGCCCAAAAGCGCACGCCTGTCCTGCCCCTCGACAAGCACACATGCCTCCTGCTGATGGAGAGCCGTGGACCCTCTCAACGCGAGAATGAGCTGCATCGCCGCGCCCCCATTGCCCTGGCCTTGCAGGCAGCGCGTCGGCTGGGACTTTGAGCTGTCCCACACGGGCGCCTTTGGCGACGCCATCATCGTCTACAGCGTCCCCGCAGACGACCCCCAGCCCTACACCAGCTGGGAGGCCGGCGTCGCCGCGGGCCAGCAGTGGCGGGAGACGCGGCTGGGCAGCGGCGTCGTCGTGCGCGTGCCCAAGATCGAGGGGGGCCAGGCGGAGGTCAGGGTGTGCCGCGTCAGCGCAGAGACCGAGACCAACTGCAACGACGGCCTGGACGACGACTGCGATGGACAGATCGATGCTGCAGACAGCGACTGCAGCGGCAGCAGTGGCGGTGGCGGCAGCAGTGGCGGCGGCGGTCTGGGCGGCCAGGCCCCTGGAGGCGCCTCAGGCGGCGATCAGAGCGGAGGGTACCCTGCTGGCAGCGCGCCTGGGGCGGGGTTTGGGGGCGGCACGGGTGGAGGGTACCCGGGGGGTGGCGGATTGGGGGGCGCTCCGGGGGCAGGGTACCCTGGTGGCGACGGCTACAGCACCTATGGCAGCTACTTCGGCTGAGTTGGCGCAGAAGGGCTGGGGAAGTCTAGGGTGGAGTGAGGCCGGGGTGCAAATGCCGGCATGCGTAAGCGCAGCTGCAACCTGGGATTTCAACCCTCAACAGGGAGCTCGAACCCGTACCTTTGAGCACCCACCCCTCCCCGGCCCTTGCACAACCGATTGATTGGTTCACCTCGTTGCATCATTGGGCCTGCTGCACTGTTCGCTAGGCACAATGTGTTATTCCTGGCATGCGCCGCACTGTTGTGAATGCATGTGAGGCGAAATTCCACAGGGCGCATGCGCACCGCGACCATTGCCACCACGGCTGATTGATTTGACCGCCTTTTGCGGGCCCTTGTGACCCCAACGCAGGTGCCCAGACGTGTTTCCAGGCTCACAGCAATCAATTTTCATTGCATCATCGCGAATGTAACAAACGCAGGCAGGATATATATTCAACGGCACACCCATGCGATTGTGTAAGCAACTCAACACAGGATTGTGGCAGCAGCAACAAAGCCCCGAGGGTCTGCGTCGTCAGCCGGGCCCCGGCACTGCGCCAGGGTGCGGGGGACCACCGGCATGTGCAGCATACCTGGTGCCCGACAGATGCGGATGACCGCTGCATGCGGCAGCCCAACTGCCTCTTCTCCCCCCGCCAGCTTTCAAAACATGACAACTGCACATCGAAGAGACATGCAACCCAAACCCCAACGTGGGGCGGCCAAGCAATCGCCCCACATCCAAACCACAACCGGTGAAGAGCGCACGAAAGTACACCGCAAAAGAAGAGCAAAAACATTCCAACAGGCAAGAAATCAGTACCGTACATGCAATTGTCAGTTATCGCCGTATTTGGCAATCTCCCACACGTCCATGACGCCAGGGGGCACCAGCGGGTCCGTCGCCGCCGCCACCGCTGCGCGCGCGACCGCCTGCACCGGCACCGGCGGCAGGAACAGCGGCCCCGCGAGCGGCGTGCCGGCCAGCTGCCGCGCGTTGGGCAGGCGCCGCAGCAGCTGGTCGACCGGGCCAAACAGCAGGTGGAGGGGCAGCCGCACGCTGCTTGAGATGGCGCGCTCCCCGTAGATCACCCACGGCCGCAGCGCGACGCCGCCTGGTTCACAAAGGTGGGGCGTCGAGAGGGGCCGCCGTCGAACGAGTGCGTGGCAGGCCGCCAATCGGCCACGGGACAGCGTCCAAGGCACCATTCGCTCCCGCAGGTCCGCTTGCAACAAGCATGAGCAGGCCCGGCCTGCGGCGGCATGGCCGCGTCTTGGCGGCGCGCACGCGCGGTCGCCGCGGCGCAGCGACTGGGACGCCCCTGTCTGCCCCGCGCCCACCTTCTGGGTACTCCCTGAACAGCTCCTCCTCCGCCTGCCGCTTGCCCTTCACATAGCCCTCCATCACATACTCAAACCCGGGTATGGCCGGCACGTGAGCGCTGACGTAGGCGAAGCGCGGCACGCCCGCCGCCTTGGCGGTCGCGATCGCGGCCGCGTTGGCGGTGCCGTTGACCTGTCGCGAGGGGGTTGCGGCGAAAGAACGTGGCGCAGCCGCGGCGTCAGACGTTACACAGCAGACGGAGCAGAGCGGGTTGTGCGCCGCTGCAATGGTTTGGATTCCCCACCCCTACTCCCAACCTCTTGTCAAGCGCGGCCGGCGGAAGCGGCTGCCCAATCCCCCTTTTCTGCAGCCTCCAGGGCGCCTGCCTCTGGCAGCGCCTCCGTACCCGCCACCGTCAGGCCACCCTCCACGCGCGGCGCGTCCGAAACCCGCCGCAGACCTGGGCTGGTTCCAGCCGTCAACGCTGGGGGCCGTGTCCTCTTCGCCCAGGCCGTTCTCACCTGGATCATCTGCTGCGTGTTGCCAAAGCCGCCGACGCAGGAGATGGCGCCCACCGCGCCCGGCAGCAGGTGCTGGTACGTGCGGGGCTCCAGGGCGTTGCCGCGGACCCACTCGACCCGCTCCATCCACGGCTTGCGCGACACAGGCGGGGTGCCTTTTGGGGGTGATCACGTCGTGCATGAG